TAATGTAATAAATAATAATTAATAATATGCATTATAAGAGGCATACTTAATAATATGCTACAGTTGGCCAAAAAAGGCCAACACAGTGCTAGGCTGCATTAACAGAGGGATAGAATCAAGATCACGTGAAATGATAATACCACTTTAAAATTCCTTGGTAAGACCACACTTGGAATATGGCATCCAGTTTTGGTTGCCATGATGTAAAAAAGATGTTGAGACTCTAGAAAGAGTGCAGAGAAGAGCAACAAAAATGATTAGGGGGCTAAAGCATATGAAGAACAGTTGCAGGAATTGGGTATGTCTAGTTTAATGAAAAGAAGGATTAGGGGTGACATGATGGCAGTGTTCCAATATCTCAGGGGTTGCCACAAAGAAGAGGGAGTCAAGCTATTCTCCAAAGCACTTGAAGAAATAATGGATGGAAACTAATCAAGGAGAAAACCAACCTAGAAATAAAGAGAAATTTCCTGACAGTTAGAACAATCAATCATTGGAACTACTTGCCTCCAGAAGTTGTGGATGCTCCAACACTGGAAGTTTTTAAGAAGAGACTGGACAACCATTTGTCTGAAATGTTATGGGGTTTCCTGCCTGAGCAAGGGGTTGGACTAGAAGACCTCCAAGGTCCCTTCCAATTCTGTTATTCTATTATTCTGGATACTCTCAAGTATTTAACTTTTTCCTAAACGAATAGAACAGGTTTAGTTCTTTGAAAATAAAATAACAAAAGAACAAGCAAAGTTTACACATCAATGGGCTGAAACATTTCATATTTCAAAACCAGGATTCCCAAACTTTCTCTTATAGCTCAATGGATCCAAATAGAATTAGATTTGGAGTAACCAGAAACCACAGAATTTTTATTTTTATAATCTCTGTAAAAATTCTCTATGAATTTACACTAGCTATATAATTTAGGGAGAAAATGTGTCAACACCTGGACAGTAATTTTTTTCACTCTTAAATGTTTACTTTCCAAGTCTTCAGACAATTCAGGGAATAGGCAGAAGCCTTTGTAAAGTCCTGGTTGTTACTGGACACCTTGCATCTGTTCCAGATATACTACAGGTAATCCTCATTTAACATTGACTTGCTCAGTGACTGTCCAAAGTTATAATAGTGCTGAACAAGGCTTACTTATGACTGGTCCTTTTAGTTGTGGCTATTACAGCATCCCCAAGGTCACTTATTCATGATTTCAGCGTTCGGCAAGTGGCTTGCAGTGATGATGCCACAGTGTTCTGCAATCCCACAATTGCTGTTTGTGACTTTCCAAGCAAAGTCAATGGGGAGCTAACAGGAGGTTGCACATGTTGAACGTGTTAGTGCAGAATGCTGTGACTGTGAGGGATTCACCAAACAACAACCACAAGGACTGCCAGTACTAGGGTTGTAAACTGGTGCAGTGATGTGATGTCACACATTATGACTGTATCTCTTAGTGACAGAGTCCTGGCCCCAATTACCCTTGGTAAGCATGGATTATTAGTAAAGAGAAAATATAGGCAGAAAAACCTACCTTGGTTTTAAATTGTGTAAATTAAAATTTATTTACTTATTTTATTAAATAAATGACTGGGCGGTTCACAAAGAAAAACATATTCATCTAAAATTACACTTTGAGTAACTTGTAGAATTTTATATTTGGGTAACATTTGTGATTAAAGACAGTTTTTCCAATGTTTATAACAAGTTATTTTTTGTATCAGTTTTTCCAAACTGCTTTAAAAGAATTTGAGGATATGATTTATGACCTGAATAGATGACATTGTAATGCGCCCCATAGCAAACTGCTCTCAGAAGTCAGCACTGCCAATATATAGAAAATTGGAGGCTACAGTATTTTGACCCAAAATGGGAAAGGTGCTCTTAAATAAAATTTTAAAATCACTTCATATATAATATTGTACTTGTCCATACACAGTATATTAATCATGCTATTTCAACTTTATGTTGGAGCCAGTATGGGCCTGTACTTCACCTCAGGTTTCCATATTTGTGTACAGCAGACAACTTAATAATATAAAAAAATACATTTAATTAACTTTCCTGTTTCAAAATGAAGGATACCTGACTTTTATTTTCAAATTTGGTTACACGTCTGTTTGATGTGGGTTTTTTTAAAAAAAAATCATTCTTTTTTTAATCACGTGGCAATCTAGTACAGATGCTTATTATTACTCTTTCTTAGATAGATGTAGTGACCTCGCTGTACTCTAAGTACTTAAGGATTTCTTTTTAAAAAATATTATTACTGCTGTTAAAGTCTTGCCTTTAGTTGATACATCTTTAGTAAAGTGTAAAGTTCCAGTAAGTATTTTATGTATACATATACCCTCACAAACTGAGTATACATTTAAATGTGTTTTCCCTAAAAGCAGAATATGATGTCATCATTACA